CTTTCCCTGGCCACATCAACCAGCTCTGACTGGGGGATCCCAAGGCGCTCCCAGGCCAGAGAAGAGATATAATCCCTCGAACTGGTCCTAGGTCTACCCCTTGGTCTCCTCCCAGCTGGACGTGCCTGGACCACCTCCCTAGGGAGGCGCCCAGGTGGCATCCTAACTAGGTGCCCGAACCACCTAATATATACATTTATTGGAAATGTACGTGCACGCATGCATGAAAGCTGATTTACCGTTACCTGTAAACGTAACAATACATATGCAAATGGTCTGCTTTTTTTTATTTAGAAATGGTAAATGGACTGTACTTATATAGCACTTTACATACTACATGTCATTCACCCGTTCACACCCATTCATACAGAGCAGTGTACCTTACTCTAGGACCTAACATGCATACACATTCACACACCGTTGGCCATGCCATCGGGAGCAACTCAGGGTTAAGTATCTTGCCCAAGGATACATCGACATGTTGACTGCATGGGCTGGGATCGAACCCACAACCTTCTGGTTGAAAGACGACCGCACTCCCTCACAGCCACAGTCGCCCTACTAGGAGGATTAAATCCCTTCAAAGTTGCATAACTGCCTGCTTAATAAGCTGAATATGAATGATAAGGCCCCTTCAAAGCACAGCTTGACAAACAACAACATGTCTTCTTTAGATATATATTACTTCCTTTAATTCAGAATATTTTTTCATAGAAAAACTCGCTGTACAGACACACCCACCAGAAATATTCACATGCAATACAAATCAGAATTTTTTTTTTTTGTTGGTATTACTGACATGTTAATGAGCTTTTTCTTTTCCCCCATCACAATCTCATGTAAAAATATATATAAGTTAAAGTCACACGTATGTCATCGTGATATATACAGAAACACATTCACACATGAACTCCTCCCGCCTCTTTCATCACGTTGGAGTCCATTTTGTCCTGAGTTGAATGATTTTCCCGCCTCTCCTCTCACTGCCCAGCGGATCCAGTGGTATCGTCGCTCTCGGCTCCATGAGGAGATCCAGGAGAAGACTCCTCCTCTCCGCCTCCCCCTGCCATCCTCGCTGCCTTGCCCTTGAGCAAGGCGCTGTCGGGGTGCAGTGAGTTCAGGTGGATGACCAGCTCGTCCTGGGACCCTGACGTCAGGCCGCATTCCTCGCAGACGTACAGCTTGTTGCGGCGCTCCTTGTAGGCGTACTTCTGCGCCACGCTGTGGATCTTCTTCATGTGGGACTCCAGGGAGCAGCGCTGGGTGAACGCCTTTTCACACAGCGTGCACTTATAGGGACGCACTCCTGTGGAGAAGAGGTGGGACAATGTCATTTCATTTATTATATATATCCAATTTATTTCTTCAATATTTATTTTGGCCTTTTTTTAATTATTATTATTTATATTTATTCTATTTTTTTTTTTACATAACCAACTCCTGTCAGGAAGATGTGGAAAAATGTCATTAAGTATATTATAACGACGTATTATAGCCCCCTTTAATATGTCACTGTTTTGCAGTTGGCTTGTGTCTTTATTGCTATTTTTAATTATATTTTTCTTGACGATAAAATATTTTCTATATTTTTTTTTATATATAATATTGGTATTTTTTTGGATCCACCCTTGATATGATTATTATTTATATTAATTATAATTGTATTTTTAATTAATTAGTTCAATATTTGTTTGGTCTGTATTATTTTATATTATTATTTATTTATATTACATTTTTTTTTGCCGCATTTTTAAAGAAATGACATAAAAAGTCAAATGTCATTTTGTCCTGTGTTTATGTGCAGTGTGTGTTCATACCTGTGTGTGTGTGTGTGTGTGCGGGAACATGTGTGTGTTCATACCTGTGTGTGTGTGTGTGTGTGTGTGTGGGAACATGTGTGTGTTCATACCTGTGTTTAAGTGCGGGAACATGTGTGTGTTCATACCTGTGTGTGTGTGTGTGGGAACATGTGTGTGTTCATACCTGTGTGTGTGTGTGTGTGTGTGGGAACATGTGTGTGTTCATACCTGTGTGTGTGTGTGAACATGTGTGTGTTCATACCTGTGTGTGTGTGTGTGGGAACATGTGTGTGTTCATACCTGTGTGTGTGTGTGTGGGAACATGTGTGTGTTCATACATGTGTGTGTTCATACCTGTGTGTGTGCGTACGTGTCTCTTGAGGTCGAAGGTGTCGTTGAAGCCTTTCCCACAGAAGTTGCACGGGT